ATCAAACTATTATAAGCCATCCTTATTCAATAATGCCAAACTATACAGGAATAATAATATTATAGAATAATTCATGTCTTACCTTTTCCTGACAACAGATTTTGTACAWAATGAAGACGACAAAACAGCATTTTTAGAAGATTTCGGAGGTTCACGTTTCGAACGTCGAAGTTGATGAATTCGTTGAGGTAGCGGGGAAACATACTTATAAAAYAATAAAACTAGCTCATCTTTATCTAGATTATCAATTTCTTTAAGAGGAATGCATCTTTTGTGAAGAATTTCAATTAWATCTTCACGATCCAAAACTTCTGGGTGATCTAGATTGTCTGCACACGAGTTGGACGCCATCTTGAATGCTTCAAAATGTCTTCAGGGGGGAGGGGACGTAATGAATTTCATACGAATAAATKAGCTTTCTTTTAGTAATGAAAGTTATCGATTTTTCTAGTTTTTTTATAAAGATAATGCAAAAAATATCCATGAACGTTCTCATTGTTTTTGAAATATCAATTAATAGAAGTTGAAATCACTACTTATAATTTTACTTTTGTACCCCTCCCTCGAAATACTTTTTGGTCTGCTGATTTCTAACAATACTATTGATTGGATAATGAGAACCAATCAAATTAGCTGTATTGCGAAAGTCATTGTATRTTTTGTTACTATGGTGATCATGACGTTGTAAATAATACTCTGGCAACGCCATGTTGTTTTGGAAAGAGAACACWGTAAAATAGAAACTTGCTCCTTCTTGTAGCATTATATCTTCACAATCGCTACTTTTTCCCGAAAATTTATCGGTCAGATATAAAGAAGAATACATTTTCAAGTTTTAAGAAGAATTTAAAGCGAAAATGACGGCTGTAGTGGCACAGAAAGGCGATTCGAGGACGTACACGTTCGCGAGTCAACCTCGTCCTGTTCAGCAACGAAAGAAATTCAGAGATCCTCTTACACAACAGTAAGTATTCAGTTTTTCTTTGTCTTTGGCATTCTTAATTGTAGTTTTTGATTTTATTATAAACAACAAATCTCAAAAATGGCCGTACGTTGCTTGTAAATTCGCCAGATTACTGTTCGTAGTCGGTGAGTGTTTTTCGACTTTTCGTTCTTGAGCAAGAACATCGAATCTCGTGCGTTCGTGTACATTAGTCTACTTTCTTTCTTTAAATGAACATTTTAATCTATATTGTTCCTAAGAATCGAGCTGTGTCACATTTAATATCATCCTTGATTGSAAAAAAATCGAAAATAYTGAAGTACAAAATGTGGTCCTCTTGACCTGACTAATAATTACAGGTYAAGAAACTTCGAAAGGATATGCATGTTGTGCTTAAAGTTTGCGAAAATAAAGATGCAACAMTCTGTACGATTTKATTTTCACTGGGAATGYTAAAGTCACTAAAATTCGCTGGCAAAGTCAAAACATTTCTSCCRAAAGTGTCCATCATTATATTTGGATACTGGAAATTATCTGTTAGGTGTATGTGATATCTGTGTATCCATGGTATTGGGCTTTCATACTTATAGAGTTGTAACTGTCTAAAGTCGTTGCTAATGAGGTGTCTGTAATATATACAGGACAAATAGTAGATTGAATATGATAAAATTTGGCCAAGTCGAGAATAGATTATTTTGTTGCCCTTAAATATATTCATTTTTACCATATTTTTTGACCCAATATACATGTGGGTGTCTGTTTCTTCATGATCCTAGAGTACGGTGGTCATTCTAGCAAGAACATCACTTGAAATGTTACCTAAGCATTAAAACTTGTTTTTATCATACAGAAATGAATCACCAATGCCATATGGAAACATCATGTATGACAAAAGAATTGTTAGAGGGAATACATATGCACAGAGAACCCTTCCAGCTGTAAGTATATTACATCCAATATGAGACTGGGAATACACTGATGAGATCTATGAATTTCACAATAGTCTCATACAAATAGTCACCTTCACAACCCTATACTCTATTTTGAAAGGTGCATTATAACTGTTTCTTTACAAAAGGGGCTCTCAATGATACGATATAGAGTATAGTCTTTGAATAATGATATATTCTGTAGAATGGTGTATAAACAAAGATTTCTATCACTGAATGCTCGTAAGGGGTCTTGCTTCAATTCCAAGCACAGTTATCTTCAAGAAGGCACTATGAACCACTAAGAAAATATCATGATTGCTGATGTTTGACCAAATAGATGATTATTTCCATATATTTACACAAAAGATTATTTCCACAAAACTAACACTGATCAATGAATTGCTTCCAATGYATTTCTGACAAGGCCATGTACAATGCAACTTTATATTGACATTATTTACCCTCAATTACCACAGTCATCACAGCCAGACCCTATTGAGATCCAAAGACAACAAGAAATGAGAAGAAGAGCCATTGCCAGAAAAAGAGCTAAAGAACAACTAAAGCCAAGATCACCTGAACCAGTCGAAGGCAGAAAACACATCGATGTGCAAACAGAACTTTATCTTGAAGAACTGAGCGACAGAGTTGAGGAAGCAGAGGTTGAAACTCAGACTGATGCTTTCTTGGATAGACCACCATCACCTCTATTTATTCCAGCTAAAACTGGTGTAGATGTTGCAACCCAAATTTTGGAAGGAGAGGTAAGAGTGAATAGCACATTGAGCATACACAGTATTTATGCTTAAAATGGTGTACAGCATTACGTTACATCAGAAATTATTGCATCGCAGCTTCAAAGTTCAAAAGAAATTGTTGTGATTTGGCTTCTTTTGTGATTTGGGGGTTGAGTTAAATATAAATAAATTAACTAATGACCATGCAAATGCGTTTGTCAAAAGCTCTACCCCTAAGATCTCATGGAAAAATATTAAAAAAATGGGGAAGTTGTGATGACGCAATGATTTCACTGTGATTTTATAAAAGTGTGAACTTCAATACTAAAGAGTGACAACTTTCTACTATTTCATCTACTATTTAAGAATGCACTTGTATTAATATGAAATGTCTATAACTTATAATATTTTCATTTCTTCTCCAGCTGTTTGATTTTGACATTGAGGTGAAACCAATATTAGAAGTACTTGTTGGTAAAACTGTCGAACAAGCCCTTCTTGAGGTCATGGAAGAAGAGGAACTGGCAAATCTTAGAGCACAACAAAGGCGGTTTGAAGAGTTAAGAAACGCAGAGCTTGTGGAAACTCAGAGGTTAGAAGAACAAGAACGAAGACGCAGAGAAGAGAAAGAAAGACGCATGAGGCAACAAGCTGAGGTCTTGCTCAAAGAGAAAGAAACTGGCGAGAAGATTGCTGCTCGTGCATTCGCTCAGGTAATGTTATTGCCATTCTAAATGTCAATTGAAATCATGCAGTGTAATATTTTTATAAATATGAAACAGTGTAAGCCATGCAGCTATAACTGACATCAATTTCTCAAATTTTGCAGAGTTATCTCGCTGACTTAGTTCCATCTGTATTCGGCTCACTCAATGAGAATGGATACTTTTATGATCCTGTGGAAAGGGGTTAGTATGAATATTAAGTACTATTGAATATTTACTTATAGCTTCATTACTCCTGCCATGATTGGTCCAAAACTGTGCTATATTTCACTTCTAAACTCATACTTGTTGAGGTATTACTTACAGATGGTACAGTATACATTATGAAAGCAATAATGGGCTGGAACATACTTGCCCATGAATAATTTTACAAGAATTCTCAAAAAGGGCCAAAATAAATTTTGATTTCTTTGTGTTTTGCCATCATCTGAATTATTTGGAGGGAGGGAGTAGCAGTTGACTTTAATAGGGGTTCCTTACAATGAAATGCTATTTTGGATTCATTTGGTAGATATTGGAACTCAAACTCCCTGCAAATCACGAGACCAAGTGGTCTAATTGTTAAATAATACAAATATTGCTAACCAATATTCAACTTTTGTTGCCAGATGTTGAACAATATTTCATGCCTTGGCTCATGGAGAGAGTTGGTGAAAACCTTAACAAATCTATGGCAGCAAGACACCTGTTAGACTGTAAGTAGACAATTGTACATGGTGATATTTCTTGCTCTCAATGAACATTTAGAAACAGAAGTCTTATTGAAATTTTATTGTACTTCACAGCGATAATCAAAGAAGTGGTTGCTAAGCGACTACAGATCTACTCAAAACTAGACGAAGAAATCCGTAAAGCTCAAGAGAACGAAGCAATGGCAAGAGCTGCAGAGCAAAGACAAAAAATCGAGGAAGCAACTGCTCAAGAAAGCACAGAAGAACCAAAACCTGACGATGCAGCAGAAACACCTCAAGACGAAGGAACTCCTGAGGAGCCAGCGGCTGATAAAGAAGGCGAACCCACAACTGAACCACAAAACGCAGCACCTGAAATCACCGAGACAACAGAAGAAACACAAGAAGAATCCTGAGCACTTGATCTTTGTATTTATTTTTAAAATGTAAAAAAATTGAAAGTTTCCTAAATGTGCAATTGTTTGAAATATATATGCAATCTTTCCTTTTAGTATTATTGATCCAGGATTATTGTAACCTTGCCACTTGTTCTAATCCTGGATGAATATTTTTTATAAACTCAAGCTGCCAAATTTAACACTGAATATATTGACAATCCATGTACTTTTGTGTAATAAAGCTCTAAATTGTGAAAATGTCAAAAAATATATTTTGTAACTTTTGAAACTTAGGGGAATACCTTGCAAACTATGGGTAATGCTGTTATTGTAAATAGCTAAACTAAAAATAAAACACCTTATATCCTCAATTTTGGTTATATTTTTTCCATAATTCGAAAGTGGTGTCGGACAAGATACAATTGTATCCAAGCACTAGGACGCTGTCTCAATGTGGTGCCCGCGAGCACTGGCCTGGCCCGCCAACTTGCGTTAACATTTCATTTTCCAAAAGAATATCAGGACACAATGCGATGCCAAAGTACATCGACAAAAGACGCTAAATCCACTAGTAAGAGACTTACTGCTGTTAGAACAAAGATTGTGATTTGATGAAATAGCAAAGAGAGACAGGCAATACAAAGAACGAAGATGCCCAGTAGAACTATAGGCATTGTTTAACATAATCCTACATTTTATTTGTTTTGTTGTCTCGATCAATCACAAGGTTCGTTTTGGCGGTAGTGGTCAACCCAGATAGAGTGCAAGTCACATAAGCATGAAACAATTCTTAACTATGTAGTGCTAAATAAGATTTAGTTATCAACTAACTAAGAATTGAGAACAATGCTAGAAAGGAATTTAAATAATTGGCATTGTGTTTATGCTTTGTTGAATTCTTAGTTAGTTGATAACTAAATCTTATTTAGCAATACATATTAAGAATTGTTTCATGCTTATGTGACTTGCACTCTACTTAGGATTTTCTGTGTGCAGAAAATTGAATTTAAAAAATTAAAAAAGCAACTTAAAAGATGTCGAGTTATGAGTCAAACCTCGACGAAGTAAATTTGAATGGTGCCGACTTCTCGATATCTTGCATTGGTAAGCCTGTGGATGTTGACCATACATTCGCTTTTTTAATTTTACATATGAAATCATCCAAGAGTTGACGTTCATTTTAATTGGTGTCCATCAGAGGTAGCTACAAACAGTACAATTGAAAGCACTGTGGAATCTAGTGTGCTGATTGGTTTTTCAGTAGTTCCGAAAAAACACTGTCAACTTTATTGGCTAAAACTTGTGGAGAGTCGTATTCTACCACACAACCTTCCTCCATCACCAACACTTTGTCATAKTCCATGATCGTATTMAAWCGATGTGCGATTGTAATCACTGTGCAGTCTTGAAACTTGCCTCGAATTGCCTCTTGAATAAGTTGATCCGTCTTRAAATCTACGTTGGCCGTTGCTTCGTCCATTATCAGTACTTTGTTTCTCAGCAGCAAGGCTCTAGCAAGGCAYACAAGCTGTCTTTCTCCGACGCTCAAGCTAGACCCGCTTTCTCCGATAGTGAAACTTAGTCCACCTTTGATATTTTTTATGGTGTTCTTTAGCTGGACTTCTTCCAAGGCGGCCCAGATCTGTTCGTCGGRAAACTGTTCGAAAGGATCCAGATTC